TCCATCTTGTTGTGGAAGTGCCAGGAAGTCTGTGTGCCACCACTTGATCCAGGATCGCAGTTCGCTTGAATGACCTGGAGAAAAATGCAGCAAATCCACCAAGGTCTGAAAAAAATGTTCTTATCTTGGGGATGTGGGATGTTGCCTGCTGCATAATTAGGTTCAGCTGATGCGCATAGCAGTGGATGTAGTGCGCACTACTGTACACATCCTTCACTTTCCGCTGAACTCCACCTTTAGCTACCCTCATCACCGCTGCACCGTCATAGGCTTGGGCGATTAGTTTGCCCAGTTGTCCATCGGGGAGGATAGTGCCCAGCCTCTCCATCAGCGCGGTGGCAACTGTGTCAGCATTCGCATTCTGAAGAGGAATGAACTCAAAAAAACGCTCCTGGACATTGTTATGCGGGTCGATGTAGCGTAGCACAAGCACTAACTGGCAGTGGGTGGAAATGTCAGTTGTCTCATCCGCCTGAATAGCTAAATAACTGGCATTTTTTACTTCCTCCAGAATGTAGTCTTTACAAACTGATAACATGCAGTCCAAAAGTTCATTTTGCACCGTCTTTGAGGTGCCTTTGAAAACCGTAGCCGTTTTAAGGTGATCCTCCAACACGCTATCTAACGAGGCCAGTAGATTAACTAAACCCAGAAAAACGCCGGGGTTGTCGGATGTGTCAGCCTCGTCGTGGCCACGCAAAGCCAGGTCAAAGCCCCCACAAAATTTCACACAATCAATTATTTTAGACAAGACGTGCCTATTCTTGTCCACTTCTTCATTGTGCTTTTTCACCGAGATCTTGTACCCTTGATCTAGCTGTGCGGCTATGTTAGCTTTGCCTAGCATGGCTAGCTTAAAGGTGTTTGTCACGTGTGCCTTAGTGCACTCGTGCTTTTTAATTTTGTTGGACAAATGCTTCATATCGTTTACTCCTATCACAGTCCACGGGCACATTGTATCTGTCCCCGGCTGTTTGAAGAGCAAGCATGGGAAACAAAAGACAGCATTTACCTGTTTGCATCCAGCTAGCCAAGCCTTTCTTGTGTACCAGCTACTTGTGAAGCCTCGTGTATACATTTTGTCTTTTTCACGAGATTGCTGCGATATATTCAAATCGGGTTGATCCGGTCCAAGGTCTTTAAGCAACAATTTATCTGCCAAACTTCTCCTTTCGAAAGGATTGGAGATTAGCTCTTGAACAGAATTAGGCGAGGACCGAGGTCCGGAGACTCCACCTGCACACGAAGCCATCCTCATCAACTACTGCGTCAACCGGATACGAGTCACTGTCCAAACTACTCACAGACTGCACTGGGCGCTGACATTGGCGCCCGGTGACCGTCATCTTTGACGACGCTGATTGGCTGAAATTATATTTTCGCGGCATAGTTTACACGTTACAGATAGCAACAGTCAGCTGCTGGTGGCTGCTGCTGCACTGGTTGAAGGCTCCTCTCTTAGCGCCCAGACGAGAGAAGGTGCATGCATGGGCAAGGCCAGGCAGGAAACATGTGACTTATCAGTAACTTTAGACATCGTAACACAATTTTAAACGAGATTTTATTGTAGATTATACATTTTACTGATACCAATTATATAATATTTACCTTGTTCATTAAAAATAAAAATAAAAATATATATATTTTTTTAAACATATATTTTTTTTTTAATTTTAATTTTAATTTTTTTTTTTATTTTTTTTTTTCAATATGGGAAGAGGTGGGGCGGCGCCCCTAGCGCCCCTATGGACCGGCCGCCACTGCTGCCAAACCATTCATTACAATGCATTCATGTGATGACTTTCAAAGAGTAAAGCAAGCACTGCTGAATAAAGTATGATTTTATCTTTTACGAAACGTTTTTTTTCCATATGGAATGCAGTTGGAGGTCAACCAATCACAGAGCTTGAGGCAAAGCGGAACAATAGCTGAGGATTCTGGGTAGTGTAGTGTCTTCGGCCATCCTAAACTCTGAACACATATTTGTTTCTCCGAATCGAAGGGGAAAATTACAAAAGCATTGCACACAATTTAAACCAATCAATGTTGTGTAATTAACAAGGATAATCTGGTGTTTTTGAGTTGATGAGTAGTGCAGATATCACTGTAAAATCAATCGACAGTAAGGAGAATACTTACTTCCGGGTGTAAAATGAATGGGAATGGATGCATTGCTCTCTGTGTCCGTAATACAATAAAGGGGACATGATCAAATAGGAATATAATTATCTTTTACATAACGTTAACTAAAGGGAACAATCTATTTGACACAGCTGAAGCTCTGGCCTTCCTTAAAAACTAACTAATTTAATAAAAATCACAGTTGTATTACACACAATGCACTGTTTTTTGAGAACAAAAATTGGTAAATAATGCACCATAATACATTCTGACGAAAAATAAAAATTATTATGAATACAAATAAAATAAAAGAAGCCTCTCGTGAGTTACTACAAGCTATAAAGTAGATTTTAAAAACGTTTTATAGAATAAAAGCTCACTGCGGGACGTTGTAGAAATGTGTGTGTGCACCACGACAAAGGAGCCTCATTCACTTTACATTGGGGTTGTTTGCGTGGTGCCGACACGTAAATGTAGCAAAGTTCGTGACTCCACCACGCACTGCGGTGTTAAGGAGTCGTGGTGGAGTCACGCATTCTGGTGAGACCAGGTTGGTCAATTGGCTCCAAACAATACTTATTCCGGTCACACTCCACGTAATGTCAACAGGACTTCTGACACCATGTCGTGTTATTCAATAATTAAAGTCCAGGTCCATTTGGGGCAGGGGGGAAAGGTGGGAGGCAGGGTGGAGAGGTCAGGGGAGAGATGTCAGAGGGAGGGAGGAGAGGAGGGAGAGAAGGAGAGGAGGGAGGGAGGGAGAAGAGAGAGTTCAGCATCCTGACCGCCTGGTGGAAGAAGCTGTTCCTCAGCTGAGGAACCTCCTCCCTGAAGGCAGGAGGCTGAAGAGGCTGTTGGAGAGGTGGGTGGTGAGTGCTGAGTGCTTTGCGGGTGAGGCGGCTTTGCAGACCATTTACATGCACCTCAAATTATATATAACAATTATAACTTTATATAACACCTGTCCAACTCAATAAATGACATAAACAGAAAGCAGGAGAGCATCAAATATACAAATTAAAATCTAAAAACTGTTAAAACACTTAAATAAAGGGTAAAATAAAGTACACATAAAAGAACAAATAAAATATACCAAATATGATATAAAGGAGCACAAACTCTCATGTCATGAGATAATGTGTCAAACCTGTTTTAATGTTTGTTTCAAGCCCTATGAACCCAGTGTGTGCGTGCGTGCGTGCGTGCGTGCGTGCGTGCGTGCGTGTGTGTGTGTGTGTGTGTGTGTGTGTGTGTGATCATGCAAAAGATTATAACTGGGTTACTTATTAACCCCTGTCCTACTTCCTGCTGCAGATATACATACTGTACAGAGGGCCGTTCATTCAGCAGCGTGCGGTGTGGAAGCCACTGAGCAACAGAAGATCAAACCAACACGTGTTGTAAAATAATGAATGCCTAATGCCTTGGAACTGTGTCTAATACTCCAAGATAGAGAGCAGATATATAATAAGTGTTGGGTGTGGAGGTTAATTTATTTTTAGTTAATGTATTAACTTGTTTGCATGTTTCCATGATCACACTCTCTGTAAATGATCCACAGTGAAAAGTGTATTACCGGTTTGGATTCATGCTAAATCTGTTCTGTTGAACATGTGAAGGCCTGGTTGTTTCATTATTCTACAAACCCAATACAAAGGTTATTAACATTAAGAGTTATGATTAAGGGTTAGAACTTGTTTCAGATTCATATTAAAACTACAATGGAATAAATGGTGACCTGGGACGAGGACTACGTTAGGTCAGATGTGGGCATGATGCTGTGTCACTATTACTGCAGCAGCCACAAAGCACCCTAACAAACCACTTATGGCAACACCTTAATAACATTTAGTATAGAGAGGTGCAGTGATGAAATATTTTTGTAGGCCAACCCGGAAGTTAGCATCACAAGGGCGATAAAAAGCAATGGGATTTTTCCATCGGATCTTGGAAATCTATTATGATATAATATTATGTATAGCGTAAATGCAATGTCCGGCAGTAAAATACTAATGTTAAACTTTAAATGAACTATATGTCGGTCGCTTGACTTCAACACGGCTAAGCTCAAGGCAGCTAATGTTCCGCGTGATGATGTTTACTTGTCCTATTACGTCACTTAGTCACCTTTTTTAACAACATGTGAAGTCTCTGGATATTCTCCAGTGGGGTATTAACTGACATACAAAAATACTTTGAGAAGAGGAAGCCCAAAATCGCTTAAAATCCTGACTCATTTCTGGGTTTAGGACTTATTCCTGTACCACACGCTATTGCTCTGTTCCTCCAAGGGAACTCTTCTTAATGCAGTCTGACGGCCTACTAACAACCACAGAAGAAACACCTTAACAACCATTTAGGCCTACTAGTTACTTTAAAATTAATAGATGTGCAACATTCCATGCCAAGAATTCTAATAAACGCAATATTTCTGTTATGCACTGACCTCAGTGTTATTAACCTAGTTTGTTTTTGTGTTGATACAACTTTTGCAATAATATACAGGCTCATTTTGATGGCAGTCTAATTATAGGCGAGGCTCAGATAAGAATACGTTTAAAGATCATATTATGACCACTATTGTGAGTTTCGCCCTAGCAACTAAAGTGTGTGTGTGTGTGTGTGTGTGTGTGTGTGTGTGTGTGTGTGTGTGTGTGTGGTGTGTGTGTGTGTGTGTGTGTGTGTGTGTGTGTGTGTGTGTGTGTGTGTGTGTGTGTGTGTGTGTGTGTGGTGTGTGTGTGTGTGTGTGTGTGTGTGTGTGTGTGTGTGTGTGTGTGTGTGTGTGTGTGTGTGTGTGTGTGTGTGTGTGGGAGGGGCCGACAGCTGCACCTGTAACTCAGCACCTAGGAGAAGGCGGACAGAGTGGATGTGGACAGGAAACCAGGGAGATCTAGAATACATGACGGACCAGAGGATCATGCTTGGACTGCCATCAGCTCACTTTACCTCTTATAGTTATTTATTTTTGAATGTGTTTTGCTCCTGTTACCCTCAGGAGAGACATCTAACACCTGCTACTGGGATACAACACCCTTTCTACTGAGATTCTTCTACTTCCACTCAGTGTAGTTCTGTGTAATAATGGACTCTCCTCTGAGAATTGAATGAGCATTAAGTGATTCAAAGTTTCTGTTTTCCTGCCACTTCGCAGACAGTTTAATATATTGTGGTCTTATATAGGCTTATTCCTCTGCAGGTGCTATACTAGCATAGAGACAGAGGCATACCATAGCAGCACAGTGAAGTGGAATGCATCTTCCCAAAGTGCTGTTCCGGCTGGAAGGCTAAACTCATGAGTTGAACAAGTTATTGGAGAGAAGAGGCTGACAGTCGGTCCTGAAGTCTGGAGTCTCACAGCTGGAAGGAGAACCTTTCAAACAGGTGAGTGTCAAGCTAAGGGTGGAAAGTACATTTGCTATGTACCCTGTTTCCATTGTAAGGAAACAGGGTACATAGCACACATATATATATATCTATATATGTAAGTATATATATGCATATAATAAAACATCAATAAATATATCCAAGTGAAATGATCCTCTGTATAACTAATGTAGTTCGACTTAGTTCAATATCCATTGAAATGATCCGTTATATGGTTGTGTATTTACAAGTAATGTTATAATGTATGTTTTAAAGACTTTATCGCACTCATTATAACATTTTATATATTTATATTTATAGATGTAAATATATTATAGATGTAAATAGAAATGATTTGTTAATCAGCAAGAAAAACATATATTTGACACATACACACACACACGCACACACGCACACACACACACACACACACACACACGCACACATACACACACGCACACACACACACACTCACACACACACGCACCCACACACACACACACACACCACACACACACACACACACACACCACACACACACTCACACACACACACACACACACACACGACACACACACACACACTCACACACACACACACAGTACACACAACTCACACACACACTCACTCAACACACACACCTCAACGCACACACACATCACACACACACACACAGTACACACACACACACACACACACACACACACACACACACACATACACCAGCACACACACACACACACACACACTCACTACCACACACACACACACACATACACACACACACACACACACACACACACACACACACAATTACAAATATCATAGAAAATATGTATGTATATATATATATATATATACCATTATTTATTGACTTATTTTTATAATAGCAATATAAAGGTTGAATGAGTTGCAACAGTATTCCTACATTATAACATTACTAATATTAGTAACACTAATACCTATATATAATTTTTGTCAAAAGTATAATCACTATTAGCTTTAGTTTAACTAATAATCTACGAGTTATTCATGATGCTTGTGATAAAGCATTATTTATCAGAAATGTTTAAACATCTTAAGTATGGAAGAAGCTGCTTTCTCCCTGTTATATTATTATTATTATGTTATTATTAAGAGGCTAAAGGAAAAGTCAGAGGATCAGGAAAGTCATTGAAAAAATCATTTTGTTATGGTGGATTTTAAAATAGTTTGCCTTGAACCTTGAAGTCACTAAAGCCCACTCTGGGACCCGGATATCTGTACGGATTACTCATGGATCCCCTCATGGATCCCCTCATGGATCCCCTCATGGATCCCTCATGGATCCCCTCATGGATCCCCTCATGGATCCCCTCATGGATCCCCTCATGGATCCCCTCATGGATCCCTCATGGATCCCTCATGGATCCCCTCATGGATCCCCTCATGGATCCCCTCATGGATCCCCTCATGGATCCCCTCATGGATCCCCTCATGGATCCCTCATGGATCCCCTCATGGATCCCCTCATGGATCCCCTCATGGATCCCTCATGGATCCCCTCATGGATCCCTCATGGATCCCCTCATGGATCCCTCATGGATCCCCTCATGGATCCCCTCATGGATCCCCTCATGGATCCCCTCATGGATCCTTCATGGATCCCTAATGTCAGCAGGGTTCATCCTCTGAGGAGCATGATGTCTTTAGTCACACATTGAAGAAAAGATGATGTGTTGTAATGTTGACTACTCATTTTCCACATTTGATCAAAGTTACAGCAACATAGAATGATGCAGTGATGACCAACCAACCAAATCTGTTGCAAACACACGTTTATAATACTTCAATGTTTTTGATAAGCAGGATAATCTCTACATATTATCACCTCTTTGTGATTTTTGAAGCGTAAATGCAATCAGAAGTAAAAGACAGTCACATGACTTCACCTCACCACCGCTAAGCTAAAGGCATCTAATGTTTGGTGTGATGACGTTTAGTAGTCCGTGTTAGTCACTTGTTAGCAACCCTTGTTTTTATGAAATGTATAAGCTTTGGACATTCACAAGTGGTGTATCTACTGACAACAAACGTTGACTTCAAGGGAACACGAAGTGGTGAAATGCTAACTAATGTCCGGGTTTCAAGACTCTGCACCACTCTTGTATATCAGGCAGCCCTCTTTACTCACCAGGTGCACAAGTCTGCGTAACACCATGGAAGAATATATATGACTTTCAGTGAGCAATTTACATTGTTCTCTGCAACACCAGCAACCAAAAGTCTGCCCCCCCCCCCCCTTCTCCCTCCCAATGAAAGGCAGAGGAAGTCGATACTCGCCATCACTTCAAAGTTCAATAGAATCTACATCAAAGGGACAAAGGAGCCAAACAATGATCAGCTGGCTGCGTGTATCAGATCAAGAAGAGAAACAATAAAACAATGTGGGTTAGTTTCTGTTTGCTCAGCTGGGGCCTGAAGGCATCACCTGCACCTGAAGGCATCACCTGCTGACCTGTTAGTTAGCAGGTGATGCCAGTTAGCTGATCTCTGTAAAGGCCAAATAATGGAACAGGTAGCCAACGTGCAAGTTCATCCCTACGGATATTTTGCTGATATTTTGCTGATATTTCTGATATCGCTCCCTTACCTTGATAAACTTGTGGGTAACTTGACGATGGTCTGGTTGTAAACAAATGTTGGGAATTAAATACAAATGCTATTTTATGGTGTTGTACAGCATGGTATGGCATGGTACGGTACGTTATGGTAGGGTACACTATGGTATGTTATCGTATGGTGTGGTATGGTAGTATCCTATGGTATGGAATGCTATGGTATGGTATGGTATGATATTGTATCCTATGGTATCCTATGGTATGGAATGCTATGGTATGTTATCGTATGGTGTGGTATGGTAGTATCCTATGGTATGGAATGCTATGGTATGGAATACTATGGTATGTTATCGTATGGTGTGGTATGGTAGTATGGTATGGTATGATATTGTATCCTATGGTATGGAATGCTATGGTATGGAATGCTATGGTATGGTATGGAACCAAAGTATGAGGACCCTTTATGCACATACCTTTGTATGTTACAAACAGAATATGAGCTATATAAGCAGTCAACGCCAGATAGAGATTTCCTCCATTGATGTGCTGTGTACAAATGACTAAAATCCAAGGCTTCAGATACCGCAGGTCTCCCTTGAAAAAGAGATCGTTGATCTCAATGGGATTTTTTAACCTGGTTAAATAAAGGCTACAAACAAACAAACAAACAGATGTCACATAAGAGCCAGTCCTGTCATCTCCCATGTTGCACAGCATGATATGGTGTGATAGAGTATGGTATGGTATTGGACGGTATGGCACGATCATTTCATTTTCTATAACTCTTCACCCTTCAGTAAATGGAACTGAGAACTTCAACACCAACACTATGTGCAATATAAATATTTTACCATCACTACAAAACACTCGCTGCTATATAACATGTGCAATATTATTATAATTAACAATGTGCTATGATAAACGTGCAATTACGTATCTGCCACTACGGTCTTTTTTTTTAACTACTAATTACTGGTAATATTTACATTAATTTTGTGACCGTCTGTGTTTCATGTCTCCTGTAGATACTTCATTGCTCTTTTACTGCACTTTTAGTGTACAGTTTTACCATTATGTTGCTGTGTTTGTTTTTGTAACTCTGGCACAACAATTTCATTCGGGATAAATAAAGTCTTATCTTATCTTATCTCTTATTATCTTGTGTATACTACAAACCATAATATGAGCGAAATAAGCAGCCAATGCCAGATAGAGATGTCCTCCTTTGATCTGCTGTACTAATCTCCTCAGAACCTGGCCTGTCCACCTGAGAGGAAGGGGCTCTGCAGATCTTTACGGTGACGGAGCGTCCACACAGCAGCGTTAAAAAAATCTTGGAGGTGGGCGTTTCTGAAGCTTGGGGATTTTTTGCGAGCAACGCGACCAACAACCAATCATATGAATCTCCCGCCCCCGACATACAAAGCAAAAAAGCCCGAAGTAAACTGGATATAAACTCCCCAAACAGGCGAAAACCTACCACTATCTCTGCCACCTCCCTCCATGCCTGGCGCCTCCGGTTTGTATCCCGGTAGGTAAATAGGGACTGGTCATAAAGCACCGGGTGATTCCCTACCGCTAATTTCTCCTCCATTTTTTGGAATAGAGTGGCGAAGTCACGCCCATCTACTTCCGGTCCATGGGACCTTATTTCGGAAAAATAATGTATTGAAGTCAATGGAGAGAGAAAACGTATCTTTCGATCCCGCTTGAATTGTGCCATGAATTACACATATGATGTTTGTCAATCTTAAAAAATAATTTCCATGTCAAAAAAGTCACAGTTTGTCGTAAAACTGTTGAAATATAAGACTATGAAAAATACGCAACTAGAAAGACTACAAATCCCAGAGTCGCGTAAGTGATGTCACAATTGTTTTCCTCTACTAAGAGATAGCTAAGATCAGCTAAGATAAGATAACTTTAACAAGATGCCTGTGTGCTTAGTGCCAGGTTGTTATCATACCAGCAATGGGTCTTGCTCGTTCTTTCGCTTCCCGTCTGATGAAAGGATCAAGTTAGCTACCTAGCTAGTAGCTAGCACGTTAGTTAGCATTACAGCCTTGTCATTTTTATTAGCCTTAACATGAAGTAACATTAAGTAACCCAAAATGTTAAACAGTAAGAGTAGTAGTCATATTTCGTGAACCCTTTGAAGAGTACTGTCACCGGTGTGATCATTCTATAATACACAATTTAAGCCCGGGGGAGAAATGCTAACGCTAACACTAGCATCGGCGATCTGCGATCTTTTCTACTTCATGCTATCTGCACAAATGGTTGAAATTAAAAAGACCAGGCAGTTCAGAGAGAATCAAAGGAAGGCAGGCAGGCAGCTTTGCATGACATTCTTCAGGACGTGTTTCATTGTGGTGATAGTGAGGGTAGTCAATCGTTTTGTTGACAAGACAGTAGTGACGGCCATCTTGGTGACGTGTGTGGTTGACCAGAGAGATGTAGTTCATTGAGCATTTCACACAAACAAATGTGTTACTTCACAGTTTTACGACACATTTTTTTTTTTTTGACTTGCAAAATTATCTTTTAAATTGACAAACATCATATGTGTAATTCGTGGCACAATTCAAACGGGATCGAAAGATAATCTTTCTCTCTCCATTGACTTCAATACATAATTTTTCCGAAATAAGGTCCCATGGAGGTCCACCGGAAGGGGAGGGACTTCGCCACTCTATATGTATGTCACTCCCAGCTTACACGCGGTTTGATTGGCTAGCGCTTGAACTGTCAGATTTGCATAAACGGGATTTGATTGGCTGACGCTTCCACCTCAGCTTCAAAAGTTGAACATTGCTCAACTTTGATCCTGAAAATCCTGAAAATCTCCGCTCTGCTTCCCACAATGCAGTTCGGCGAAAAGTGAGGCAAAGTGACGTCACCCCATTCAAAGTGAATGGGCAGAAGCGTTAGAAGATTTTTTTAACACTGCTGTGTGGACGCTCCGTGACAGAGGGGTATCAGACAGGGATGTGCAGACCGACTCCTCTCACTGTATCAGTTCCTTTGAGTTGATACATGTAACTGTTTAGAACCTTTCAAACCTTTCTAGATTTGTAATTAGGAATGAAGAGTAGATCAACATATCTACTTTGACCTCTACTCCATACATACACAAACATTAACATTAACCATATATAAGCATAATTATTAACAGTACATAAACATTAACAACACATAATCATAGACATTCACCAAACATTAACAGAACACAAATTAAAACGGTTTATTCATGGCACTTCCAAAGGCCCTACACTGTTGAAGGCCCAGTTGAATATGCAACTATAGTTGCTCTGCTGCCTCTTTCTGAGCTGAGGGGTCCTCTGCCTGAAATTGTGGAAGACCCCTTCTGTTGATGTAACTGTCCTTGTGATCCCTTTGATTATTGATAAATGATTAAATGTATTTTTCAATTTGCCTGACTTCAAATGTGTCTCTTTCCCTCACACACACACACACACACACGCACGCACGCACGCACGCACGCACGCACGCACGCACGCACGCACGCACGCACGCACGCACGCACGCACGCACGCACGCACACACAGACAAACACACGGTAACCTGAGTAACCTGAGTATGTGTGCATCCACATATGAAGGCTATTGAATTACGCTGAAATATTGACAGTGCCATGGGAGGATAGGCACACACAAACACACACACGCCCACAAACACACACACACACACACACACACACACACACACACACACACACACACACACACACACACACACACACACACACACACACACACACACACACACACACACATATAAAGACAGATACATATGCACCAATAGATGCATTTTTTTGGTTGCAGATTGTTTATGATAAATGTCTTTCTTAATATTTATTTGTATTCTAATCATCTTTTCCTCCCCTGTTCCCTCCCCTTAGCCCCCCACCCTCCCTCCATCATGGCAGAGCCTTCTCCTGGCTGGTGGAAGCTGACTTTCCTGAGGAGAAAGAAGTCCCAGCTCAAGGTCCTGTATGAGATCCCTGCAGAGTTTGCCTCTAACACCCCCCCTGCTCAGCATGGATCGGCCACAGCGCCCCCCCCCGAGGACATGCTGCGGGACCCTCAGCTGGACGCCTGGCTGGAGAGGATCGTGGACAAGACCCCGGCCAGCAAGGGGCGCCACGTCAAGGTGTCTCACTCCGGGAGGTTCAAGGAGAAGAAGAAAGTCCGAGCCACTCTGGCAGAGAACCCGGAGATGTTTCCAGGAGGGGACCCCACCAGGGACGAAAACCAGAGTTGATGCAGCCTTAATTGGGTGAAACTCTGGGCATTAATACCTTCTTGGGATGATGAAGTTGAATCAAGACTTCTTGAGACAGAATGTTCAGGCTTATCTTTATTTAGAGAAGTTTGATGTTTTCCTATTTACTTCAATTCCAAACATTCTGCATTCTGAGGCCTGCTGTCAGCTTCTGGTGGATGGGGATTGCAGGGATGATTCAGGACAATGCACCGCCATGGATCTACTACACTGCAGGAAAGCCAGCCAACGGGTTCATGAGAGACTCTGTACATGTGCCCTCAACTCACAGACAGCATCCAGAAATACACTTTGGAAGGGTTAAGTGCAATTTACAAGAAAGCAAAGTTTATCTAAAAAAGACACAAATAGATAAACAAAATGACAAGGTAAACTCACTTAACTTAAATTAAATATAATCAATGAAACAATCTGATAGTTAAAGTTATGTACTATCACTTGTCATGGTTGATGAAGTCATGTTGTTGTGAGTTATTGAATCATCATTGAACAAGCACTTAAGACACTGGGATCCTAATTTGAGCACTAGTTTAAAGTTGTAGTCCACTTCCTGGATTTATTTGTCGCGTTTGCAGGTTTACGTAGCCATGTCTCTCTCTATAGTTGTACTTTTGTAACATGTTTTAGATCTTCTTAAACCTACTGAGACACTTTTGAGACTTGATTGATTATTGATTTTTCTGTATTTTTAAACTCACATTTTAGCTGTTATTTTTTCATCCAGGCAGTCCTACACATGTTGTTGCCGGTGAAGGCCAGGAGAGGGCAGCATCTCTTCACATGCAACAGATCTTTAAAACACTCCTCCATTAAGGGTTTCTCTCAAGAAGCTTCTTTTCTCTCCTGTTGATTGTACCTCACATCCAATCAGAAGTTAGCCTACAGTCTGTCTTTTTAAAACCACTTACAAATGCCAGAAGTAATTTTAGCCTTCAATGTCAATGCTCCAACATTTAGTGTAGGCACAGAAATATTTTTGATGGAAATAAATGTCAGATTTTCAGTAAATTATGTGTTCTTTTTAATGCTATTTTGGACTTATATCCGTAACAAGTTACTGGCCATTTTAAAGATTTCAAAAGAAATACGATGGTGCACTGTCTGTATAGAGGCGCTGCGGTCACTTTAAACCTCACACCATCTAACAACCTCCAAATTCATCAAAGGTGTCTACGTTGGGCAGAAACTCTCTCAGGTGTCTGGTCGTTATTGAGAATCCACCAGGTGCTACACATTCAGTGTGACAGTGACAGATGTGTTTGGGGCGGGGGGGGTTAGTTTGAGGTTGGATATTTGACAGACATTCTCTCCACATCCAGACAGTCTTGCAGTTTCTGATGGAGCTGGCCGCAGGAGGTCGGTCAACATCAGTGATTATGTGTTACAATGGCGTTAGCAACCAGAAAATGACACCAGTAATGACAAACAGATGAGAATGCTGCGTGGGGTCTGGGTGCCGTGTTGGCGGGACGTTGCGGGGCTCGCTGCTGGAGCGGACAGTGTGAGCTAGATTACTGGTGTCGTTTCCTGGTTGCTGCGTGGGGTCTGCGAGACAGCGAGACACAGCGAAACTCAGCCTGAGCACACACACACACTTGTAGCCTGGCTGTGAGTTTGTGTGTTTTGAGTTTCGCTGTGTCTCGCTGTCTCAGGCTGAGTTCAGGCTGAGAAATCCGCGGAGCTGCGGCTGAGAAAAGATAAGGCTGAGTGAGTGTGTGTGTGTGAGGAAGTCCGCGGATTGGTCCATTTGGCATAGCCGTTACGTCACTTATGGCGCATTTCCACTGCAGGGCCTCGCTCGGCTTAGTACGGTATGGCTAGGCGTCGTTAGGCCTTTTTAGGCCAGGCTCACTTTATGCTGCGTTTCCATTACAGTTTAGGAACTGGGGTAGTATCTAAAGTAACGCAGTGTAGGCGGAGCCGTGACGTCATCTTCAATGCGAAACACAAAACCAACATCAGCCGTTAGCTGTTAGCCCTCAGAGCTCACAGCTCCTCATATCTGTTCAGAAACTAGACAAAAGTTAAACAAGTACAAACCACAGACTGTCTGTGTCATGGTGAATACAGTCGCTGCTTTATTTATGTCTGTATAGGCCGTTGTTGTGAGTGTGGACGGTCGGAGCATATACAACGTTAGCTTAGCCAATCTCCATTCAGAAAACACGCATTTTAAAAGGTTTTTCTCCTGCCGTCTGTCTGCAGACTTGTCAAAGCATTAATTCATGGTTTTTACTAACCGGTATCAGTATGTTGTTACCAGAGTTGGGTGTAACGCGTATTATTACAGTAACGCGTTACAAAGTAACGCGTTACTGTAATAATATTACTTTTGTCGGTAACAGAGTAGTGTAACGCGTTACTTTTATAATTCAGTAATCACACTACAGTTACTAACATTGCCCCGACACGCGTTACTTCGTTACTTTTATAAAATCAGTCATAATCACACTGACAGACAAGAGGGGTTTCCGCCGCAGGTTTATATGTACGTAATCTGCCCGACTTGCGCGTCCACATCTCCACGTGCAGTGCTCCATAAACATGGCTGAGTCAGCGATAACTTTCGAGGGGAGGGGAGGTATGCCCATTATTTTGAGTTCGTCCGAAGAATAGACAGGAATGTGACGGTGAGGTGCAAACTGTGTCCAGGCCAGAAGCTGTTATCCACTGCTGTAAACACCACGTCAAACCTCAACAAACACCTGCAAAGAACACATGCTAAGGTGAAGCTAATAGCTAAGGACCCCCGAACCCAGAGTGAGGATGTTGTGAGTGCGCCGCCGCCGACTCCGAAGCGGCACAAATTAGAATTTGGAGGACCGGTAACCAAAGCAGAGATGGACAGGCTTGTAGCATCCTTCATAGTAGAGGTAATGTTGCCCATTTGCACAGTGGAATCACCATCGCATCGTTCAGAGATATGCTGCGCAAAATACAGATAGCAGGAGACAGAGGACAGCCATAGTCAGAGCTATCTGGATCAGTCTTATGCGACAATGGAAACTGAACTAAAGAGAACATTTGAAACTTTAGCAGTCTGCGTGATCTGCCTGTAGGGAGGGGCGGGCCGGCCCTGCGAGTAAAGTAACGAGTAAAGTAACGAGTTACTTTATGTAGAGAGTAACGAAGTAGTGTAATATATTACTTTTTTTTTAAGTAATATGTAATATGTAATATATTACTTTTTTTTAGTAACGACCCCATCTCTGGTTGTTACTTCGGCATCATTTTGAAACGTGTATTACAATTAAATCACGGTCAAATATGTTCATTTTGTTGTAGTTGCCAGCGATTCTCTCACTAGTTTAGCATACTCAGCCCGGTTGTTGGCCCGGAAAGAACCTCGATTTTGGAGAGCCAGAAAACTGTGAAAAAGTACCCGCTAGCCGGAACTACGCCTAGTGGAAACGCAACCAAAAACGGGCCGGGCACGGCACGGCACGCTTAAACCGCGCTGTAGTGGAAATGCGCCATTAGACCCTTACGTCACTTGGTACCCGGAAGAAAAAAATTGAAAAAGAAAAATCTCCAACGAGGCGTTCTGGGGCAGCATAGACAGGTATTTTCTGTGTTAGTTGTACTCACTACAGGGTGTTCTTTGAGGGTTTGTGACTTTGCAGACCGTTTACATACATAAAAAGCTACATAACACACAAGGGGACGGGTAATAACCGGAAAAGCATGACATGGGACCTTTAATGAGCTGACTGGCCACCTGCTGCCCTCCTGTGGAAACTGCAAGACTTGGCTGGCTGTGGAGTCTGTCCAACATCCAAGCTCAAACTAACTTCACCGCGGTGAACCCTAAACAAACAAGCTCCTTATTGTTATCATGACAGCAGAGTCTACACATCTTCTGTTTTGGACTGAAAACTCACCTGTTTCAAGTAACTGCACCTCTGCCAAATGTCTTTCTTCTGTATGTAGCACTTACTGTAGAAAGGTTTTGCTTTTAAAGGTGGGGTAGGTAATTTTGGAGAAACCAGCTTGAGTGTGCTAGAATTTGAAAATACACAGCCGGAAAAAATCTCCCACTTCCTTACAGAGCCCCTCCTCCAACACACATGAACACGCACATGACCAATGAGGGCACGAGATAAGTTTGTGCACAGATGGAAGGCTGACAGGCAGGTAGGCCATCCAGTTATTTTAGCCGCTAAAATGATTGGTCGTGCTTTTTACAGTACTACGGCTTCCACAGATGACATTTTTTTATGGATTTTTTTGTCAAAGCACAGATATTCATTGCTATCGGGATGTTAAGAGCATTCCATGGAATATAACAAAAAGTGTATCTCGAGCCGGTTTCTCAAACTTACCTACCCCACCTTTAAGGTCTATTCTGCAAAATCCACTTTTTCATGTCTTTCATACATAAATAGCCCCTCTGTGTAAAGAGATTCAGCCAAACACTTCAGAGACATGTTCTGTATATATCTGAGACCTATATTGTTGAAAAATAGTATAATAGGGGACCTTTAAGTGGAGCTAATGCATTAGCACTTAATCTAGTTGGGTTTATAGAAACCTGCAGGATTCTGGCTTTTGAGTTTGTTTCTTCATGGTTGAATACACTTTTTGTTAGTCACTTTTAATAGCTATATGAAAAGTTATATAATGTAATATCAACTGAAACAATCATGGATATAGAAGTAGTTAAACCATATGGTCTGCAATCTGAGAACGAAGATACACACAACTTGTGCCACAGTTCCATCTGGTGGACAAAAAAGGGAAGCCTCTCATTGGTCACAGTTTGAAACACTGTTATTAGAGTAATATTAGACAGACGTTTGGCCTGCACTGCCCCTTCTGACTGAACATGAATTAGAAAGTGGCCTATCAGTTATCAATCAGTTAATAATTTCACCTATGCATCCATCAATGGACCAATAAATCACTTCGTAAATCAATCAACCAACAAAAATATCAATCATCACTTAATAAACTAATCAAATAACCAACCAATCATCACCCATCAACCAGCCATTCACTTAATCAACCAACCCATTTTTTTTTAATTATTATTATTTTTAGCTTTTAAGGTTATAGTTGAATTTAAATTTGGTGTAAATACTTGTCTTTAGCATCCTTTTTTAATGCTAAATTGTTTCTTAATAATACTTATTTTGTACTATCCTTATATATTTCCTTTTTTTACCTCCTTTGCAACTTATTTTTTTTTAATTGTTTGTTCCCACCACCAGAAAACAAAACAAATTCCTTGTATGTGTAAACGTATAAACTTGATTCTGAATCACATCATTAACCTCCTTCCTGAATAGTTCCCATTTAGTTTGTATGGTGGTGTGTCATGAACATTACACAGATGTGGAAATGAATGTAAAATAATTTCTAGATCTTGACAAGTTGTTTTGATCATAAAGTAAATTACTTTTGTTCAGTTCAAGATACCGTTGGCGGTGAATAAATGTTTTTGTAGATTTTCTGTGATCTGGAAGTAATGCACATGTGTAAATGATAAACTGAGGCACAAAAACTTCTTTTTCTAAAGAAATGTCAGGTTGTAAATATAGTTCATTAAATGTGAACATTTTCAGTATGTACTTTCTGCACTAAACAAAGGGAATCATTTAAAGTCATCTTTATTCACAGGTTATTATGCTATGATTTGGCGGTGGTGGTGATTTGGGAACCGGAAGGTCACCGATTCAAGTCCCCGAAAGACCAAGTGCTACCGAGGTGTCCCTGAGCAAGGCACAGTTCCCGACACTACTCCCCGGGCGCCGTACATAATGGCAGCCCACTGCTCCTAATACTAGGATGGGTCAAATGCAGAATGTACATTTTCCCTCTGTGGGACGATTAAGGGTATATAAAATAAAATAAAATAAATGTTTTACTGGGATCAAATTGGGCTGAATGTGGCCCCTGAACTAAAATGAGTTTGACCCCCCTGCTTTGAGAAGTGTTAGCTGCTAGCGCTCAAAGCTA